AGCAGTGAATAAGAAGTTTTCTATCATTGTAAAACTATTTATTTAACTCAGGAAATCAGGCAACCAACTAATATTTATTGAGCACCTATTGTAGACGGGCTACCTATCCTAGGCATTGAAGAAAAGATACAGAGAAATATGAGGGAGTTCCTGCCACCTGAGTTAGGTAATAGAATATATATGTACATGAAATTCTTTACTGATACATACACTTAATAAGTAACTACTACATGCCAGGTACTCTCATAGGTGATAGGAATAACAAAGTGATTAAGACACAATTCCTATTCTCAAAGCTAACAGACTAAGGTTAGCAAGTGCTCGCATTCTTCAGAGAAGGGTAACATTATTTCCAGCTGGGGTAAATGATGGGAGGTGGGGCGTCAGGCAAGATTTGACCAGAAAGGTTAGAACAAAGGTGGAGAATAATTGAAGGACATCCCAGGAAACACTGTGAGTGACCTGTATATTCCCTTTGCCATTCCTCCTTTTGTACCTTCCCCACAATGGTGAATACCACATTGACAAATTTTCCAATTACTAAAAAAGACAACTCAGAAATGAAAATATTGCATAATTGTTAATAGATGGCTTGATTACGTAAAAACTTTTTATTATTATTGGTCACATCAAATATCTGAGACTGTATATTTCAGTAAATATGCATTTCATTATTCTAAATGCACTTTAGAAAATTCCAGCTCTCTATGTATAGACTTTTGTTTGGTAGAGAACAAGAATTGTTATAAGAAGATATAAAAGCTACTTATTTTTTATGGGACTTCTGCATAAATCTTATATCTATAACATGATCTTAGTGACATAAATTTTAGCAGCTTGTTTCTATTTCACCTGCTGTGCAACCAGTGCTGTCCTACAGCAATATCCAGGAGTGGAATTGAGCTATCTGCTGGTGCCATAAATAAGAAAGGATGTCATGGCTGTTTTCATTTGACTGAGCAGTAATGGAGTTAATTATACTTTCCCTCTCTTTGTTTTTGATCTGTGTTTCCAAAGTCATCTAAGCTTTTGGGAGTTCTCATATTTTTAACTCTTCCCTTGTCTGATTGGATTTCATACCTTTTGGGATTTAACAGCTATCAGTTATTATTCTCTTCAAATTTCTACCTCTCATTTGTAACTATGCAGGTTATAGTTCACAATCATTTTTCTTTAAAGAGACATGGAAACTTACAACATTATTTTATACTTGATATATAATTTTTGCTTTGAGCATTTTATATAAATTACCTATGAAGAAGGAAAGTATTTAGCCCAATTTTTCTAGTTGAGACAAACACAGGAAAGATAGGTGAGTTCTGAATTGTAACCTAGTAATGCAATGAGACAGTCAGAAATGGATTTAGAATTTTCTTTCACATTTTTGCTGGGATCATGAACCATTGTTGAAATAAAAGGGAGCTTCTGGAATTTTTGCTTCCAGGCCATTATTTATTGATTAACCTGAGGTGATAAAAGTAGATAAAAACATATATGCATATATAAACATTTAGAGACATCAGGTTAATTTTTCATCTCTATTTATTTTAGTATTTAAGCCTATAACTACCTAAGCTGAAATACTCGGATTATCAGTTAATATGGATAATTTAGCTCTAATTAATTTTCCTCTTAATTTTTGTTTGTGTAAATATTCTCTTATTTAGTTGGCAACTAAGATCCTAAAGAAGAAAATGGGGAAAAAATTATTTGCATGTTTTCCTTTTTTTATCAACAAATACTAAGACATTTGGAAATAAAGAGATTTTTAATTTATTTTGTTTTTATCAATTTCTGAACAATTTGAATATCTGAAACATAGGAAAGGCAACATATACTATTCTAATATATACATACACATACATTAAAAATAATAAAAATAAATTTATAATTTTATGGTTTAATTTGACTTAAAATGTGATTTTCCTTTTTAATAGATACAACTCTTTTTTTTGTAATGTTTTCTTGGTAATGAACAAAGGCTTTCTGATCCACAATAGTTCTTACAGATTGATTTGTTTTCAAAGATGTAAACAATTCCCAAGCTTATTTTTACTCAAATTAAAAATACTTGAGAAACCCCGACATAAAATTATTTCATCTTATCTTTTGTCTCTTGCACAAATGACTTTTTTTTACTATGAATCATGCTACTACTGTGATTGCCATCATTTTGATGAAGAATCTATGACTCAGTTATTTTTTTGAATCATACAAAGAAACAGGTTAAATGCAGGAGCAGTACATTAAAAATAGGCCTGGGAATTGCAGAGAGATTTTGTTGAAATCTGGGTTAAGAAGTTAAGCAGTTCAATGTAAAGTAGAAAACGATTCTTCCATTTTTGGCCTGAAGTTTTTCATAAGGGGTTAATGTAATTCTTTTTTGTAGGCCGGAGTGTGGAGGGGTTGGGATGGTATTAGTTGTCAATTATTTTCTACAGACCTGCAGAGGATAATTTTTCTATCACTGGGTACTGAAGTATGGCCCCAATAGACTTCTTTTATCTTATAAAGTGTCGATAGGAATTTTTGTTGGTGACTTTATTAGGTTATCCCTGAACTCACCACAACAGACCCAAATATTGCCACTGCAAAATCCCTAGGTAAACTCATAGGAAGGTAATCTGGGTGAGATTTGCACCTTGTCCTAGGACTTACCTGTTCAATGAAAACCTTCTGATATTAAAAAAGGAAAAAGGTGAGGAGCACAGTGAATTAGCACTTTGTACTAATTTAATGGCCTCAACATGATCACAGTTAAACAGGATCTGCTGTTCAAAAACAAAGAAAGAAAATACATCCACCCAGAACAACTGCAAAAAAGTGGAATTAAAAAAGAAAACAAACAAGTAAACAAAACCCAGGCCTTTAGGTAGTTGCTAAAGATTCAGCCTCGGGGTTATATGCATTAATGTGCAGGAGAGGCATGTGTCCCTTGGTGTCACTTGCTCTTAAACAGGTACACATTTCAACCATGGGGTTCACCATAGAGTGACTCTTGACGCATTTTGATAGATGCTGTGAAATATGAAATTTGAGATACCTTTGGCATTTAGAAATAATTTACAAACTGGAATCCCAGCTTGTTTTAATTCCTGGGTTGTTTAGAAAGTCAATTAGAAGGAAAATAGACATTCTCCATGTGTTTTATGAATACTACGGAAATTCTGGACCTAAAAGTGAATTAAACTGAGCAACAGCCTTTTTTACTAAGAAAGGTCAGATTTTCTTCTCTTTGAAGTTTTTCAGGCTCCCAAACCAGTTTGCATATTGAGCTTCCCAGAACTCTTTTCAACTACCTAGAGCAGTTGAGCATGAAGAACACCATTCTCACGTCTTTAACTACAAATTGGTACGCAAATGGGCTCCGGAGTCCTGGTAAGGAGGGGCACACGCCTTGAACCCATCTGTTTATTACTGAGGAAGTTCTGATCAAGTTTATGGTGTTAAAACCTCCAACATATCAACTCCAGTGAAGAGCAGGACAAGCCATTGTAAATATGAACCATCAAAGCATTAGCCATTTCAATGAAATGAAGCAAATCAATTGTTTTCCAGAAAGGTGCCTTTCAGCTCTCCTTTCCCAGGTTCTGAGTTTCCATATCAAGTTCACATTAAAACAACTTGTACAAAAGGGATTTTAATTCAGAATTTTGGAAGGTCAGTGTTTTGGCCAGTAAAACATGCTTTCCTTAATCTCTGGTGAATCATAAACTCCCTACTTTAAAACCATTTGAAATAATCCAGTGTCATTAGCATTAGGACAAAAATGAAACAGCTAAAATAACTGCAGTTATTCAGGTTTTGAATTTGCTCCCCTATCAATCAGTTGGCTTTTGTTTAATATGGCATCATTTCCCCCACCCCCAATTTGTTATGGTTTATTAAAAAATATATATGTATTAAATGCATGTAGACTTAGAGATACCGTTTTCTGAAATCAAAACATCTTTGGTTAATATATTGTAATTTTATGTTCAATAAAATAATTTCAGCTGCAACAAGGACACTGAATGGAGGTTTCTGTATAAACCAGTAAAATAGTAATTACTATATCATATACTGATTATTTCCTCTCACACACTAATTCTATGCAGCAAACATTGGACTAGAAATTCTCTCATGCTGCTTCATTGGATGTGAACCTTATCAGCCTTCACTCGCTGTGGGCTCTTGGAGATCAGAGATTTGTTCTAAATCTTTGTTTATACTTAGGACCTCATAAAGTGCCTGGCTGATAAAAGATCCTCAAAAATTTTCTGTTAAATAAATATAAATATATGTAGATAGCTTTTTAAAAAATTGACTTCTAGGCTGAGAATTTAAATTCAAGATATAAAAATCCTTTGGAGAAGGCAAAACCAAAAGGGCAAACTATGGAATTTTTTTTCCATGTAGGTGCAACTAAACTTTACTAAGTGTTTCAGAAGTAAATGCCAACTTTAAATCGGGAAGGAACTGAGATTAGAAGAATCCATTTTGCCTAAAAATTATATTGCATTTAAAAGTTATTCAGTATAAAAATTCAGCAGTTACATAGAAGTTTGGGGGCATTTCTTGGAGGTGAACTATCTTATTAATTAAAACTAGGTAATGAAAATTGGAACACTTTATCCATAGTCAAAAAATTAACTTTCTTTATATTGCTTAGATGTTAGTTTTGTATGCAACCTACCAATACAGAGAGAGAGAGAGTCATTTTTTTTGTAGGAGACAAGCACCACGCTAGTTACTGCAAAGCATAGCATAGAATTTGAAGTCTGGAAATAGACGGTAAACAGATAATTTTAATAGAAAGGCAGCTGAAGGTGGATGAAGAGGAGGGAGTATAGGCACAGCCCAGCCAAAAACAATTTCAAGAACGAAAAGCCCAAACCATTAGCGGTTCAATGTAGCTGGGTGGGCGGGAGAAAGCTTCGTTGAGGATGATAAAAGCTGCTAAAAGATTTGCTTTGTCAAACCCCTACCCCAAGGCAAAGAGGAAACTTTCAAAAATTTACCTGAAGGAGCAGCTTGATCTGAAATTCCTTTAGGAAGGAGCCCCCCTCCGGATGAAGCATAGAGAACAGATTGCAGAGTTTACCCGGATCCAGGCTCTTGTGGTTAGCACTGGGTGTGTCCATTGGGAAAAAAGAGAAGTAGAGGGATTTGAGTAAAAAAATTGTGACAGAGAGAAAAAATATCGAAGGAGGAATTCCAGATTTCCGACTTGGGCAGTTGGGAGGGGATGGAGTTGCAGTCCACAGACATTATGTAGTAACACAAGGAAAAAATAATAATAATTGGGGCGGGGGGGGGGAGGGGGTTGGGTCATGTAGGAGGGTGGCGGGGTAGCAAAAAAGTAGTGGCCCAAGGAACAAAGGTGGATTAATTAATTTTGGATCTGTTGAGTTTGAGGAGTCATTGCAACATTCAACTGAAATATTTGGTAGATGGTTTATAGATTAGAAACAAAATTTGAAATAGAGAAGGAATTTCGGAGTCATTTGTTTTTTCTCTAAAACCTTATTCTATTAATACTAGAGCATGCTCGTTTTCAGCTCTAAAACTAAAATCATCTAGGAAGTCCATATTTTTTATTGCTCTCCCACCAAATCTATATCTGTTTAGTATTTATGTTTTAGAATGTAGCTTGCTTAGTGCATAAACATTTGCAATTTTTTAGCTATTGCTTTGTAGAAAAAATATAGTGGCTAAAAGCAAAGATGCTAATTAGACGCATATAAGTTGGAATTTTACTTCTTACTTTCTAGCTGTGTGAGCATGGGCAATCCACTTAACCTCTCTGAATCTCAGTTTTCTCACTGGTAAATTTAGGATATCATTAGCTGAATTAAAGAGTTGTCATGAGGTTCCGGTAAAATAATATATAAAATTGTTGGCAGTAGAGGTGACATGTTGCAGTAGCTTAATGGCTATATTATGTTAATAAGGATAAACATTGTTGACCAGTAGCACATAGTGGACATTGTAATTGGTCCTTCTACCAAATTTTCTTGTTATTTATTGTTCACAAAAACCCTGGGAGGTAAATATTATCATTTCCATTTTATAGACAGATAAATGAATCTCAGTGGCCAATAGCTAAAAAGTCATAGAGCCAAGATGGAAGTCAGATTTTAAAATTCTTATGTTTGGAGTTTTATCTGCTTCCTTCCGGCTTCTGGAAATTATGGGTCAAGAGTTCTTGTCTATGTCTCAGTAGCCTCCAATTTTGTACCGTATAGGAGGATGCTCTGCAAATATAGATGAACAGATTCAGGACAATTTGGGATATTTGAGTTTCTACTATACGCCAGGCACTGTAATATGCACTAAGAATACTAATAATTTATGCTTCACCTTTGATATCTTGACACAACAAACACTTTTACAGATAACTATTAATACATTAGGTCTATCTATGCTCAACTATAAGTAGGAATAAAAAGGAAAACATAGCATGGTGAGGAGAGAGAAGTTTATTTTTTCATAAGGTTGAGAATGGAAGCAAAATAAAGTTGAGATTTTACCTCAAAGAATGTGAAATCTGAAGTGAGCCTATTTTGGAGAATTTTATGCAAAATAAAAATAACTTTTGATCTGTGTCTCTATTAAATTGAGAAAGCCATAGTTGGTATTGTTAAACATCTCTTCTTACAGTTTCTTATCCAAATACTGGAAAGAACACTATATTAGGTAGCGTATAATTTCTAGAATTAAAAATAAATACATTAAGTGTGAAACATTCAATTATAAGAAAGAGTTGAATCACATTTTCCACTGGATATGTTAACTATAAATTGTTTTATTTCAATACTTTCATATAAATTCTTAAAACTTTTGTGGGATGAAATATTCTTTTGTTTTTATTTTTCAGACCTATATTCATCGGAGGAATTTAACTACATTTTAAAGCAATAACCCAAAAAACAAAAACATCATTTCAGTTCTTTTTTTAAGAAATCATAAAATGTAAAATCCAATTAATAGTCAGGTATGTTCCATTATAAGAAAATACCTAATGAGAATGAGACTGTTTTAGAAAAATAATCTGATGACTTTAAAAGATCTGGATTTAGTAAATTTCATAAGTAAAAAATATTCTTAAAACCAAATAACTATCCTGACTGCCTGAATTTAAATTGCAAAACAATCTGTTGTTTGACATGTGACCTTGAGAAGTTACTTGACTTTTCTGTGTTCATTTTCTTATTTGTAAAATAAACTTATTGTAAATATTAACTTTTAGGAAGAGATAGTGAAATGGTAAAGGCTCAGATTCCGGAACCAACCTGCCTGAGTTTGAATATTATCTGTGTGACTGTGGGCAAGATACCTAACCTCTCTGTGCTTTAGTTTCTTCATTTGTAAAATTAGGGCAACAATAACCCACCTCAATTGTGCCTGTACAATTTAGTGGGTAGTTAGCCATTTCCTCAGTGGTTTCAAAAAAATATTTTATATTAAATTCTTACATAAAGTAGGTAGTTTGGGGGGGGTTCAATATATTTATTCATTGATTCATTGTTCTATCTCTCTCATGTTCAATTTGTATATTTTGTTAATTGTTTTGGTATTGGATGGCATAATTTTAAATACATAAAAATTCAATTCTTCTTTCATCATTCTCTCTCTTCTATATATGTATTTACATATCTAAACACACACACACACACGCCTACACACACAGAGGTTTTACTAGCTTATTTATTCTTCATGATGCACTTAGAATCATTTTGTAAAGGCACAAAATAAAATCCTATTGAATTTTTATAGGAATTGTTTTAACCCACAAACTAATTCAAGAGAAATTGACTATTAGTTCTTACTACCTAGAAATAAGTCAATTGTTTTCAAGGTCTTTTTTCATATCCTATAGGAAGATTTTGTGATTTTCTTCACAAAAGGCTGTATCTTGCTTGTATTTGTTTCTTACTAAATTATATGTATTTGTTGTTAATGTGATTAGAATAATAATTTTCCATTATTTTTCTAGTTAGTATTCCTCTATAAAAATGTTATTGATTTTTGCTATTTATTTTGCAACTAGCCACTTTCTTGAATTATCTTATGATTTCTAATAGTCTCATAGTGGAACCTACCTATTAACTGGATTTTGCACTTATGACTTCTTAAAAAAGAACTGAAATTATGTTTTTGTTTGATGGGTTAATGCTTTAAAATGTAGTTAAATTCCCAATGAATATATTTTTAAAAAATAAAAACAAAGGAATATTTTACTCCACAAAAGCTTTAAGAATTTATATATTATTGAAATAAGACAATTTATAGTTAACATATCCAGTAGAAAATGTTATTCTATTCTTCTTTATAATTGAATGTTTCACACTTAAGGTATTTTTTTAAAATTCTGGAATACTATCATTCTTTATCTACCATGTTTTGCCCCTTATAACTCCCTAAATTATAGGAAAATTAAAAGTCCATTAAATGACATACATTAACACCTACTATTATAGGGTTAGCTACGGAGAGTGGGCAGCTGCAATACTCATCAAGTTTGATTGCTTTGGAGTCTGAATGCAATATTCATTTAATGGCACTCACTTATTTGTACAAAGAAATAATACTGACCTAGGAAACAATTTGTTTTGAAACAGGTCAATGGCAGAAATGTTAAACATGTTCCAAAAGCAGTCTGAAAAAGAAAATCTGTAAAGGGGAAAATTCGTTTGAACTGAAAATGTAATATTTTTATTAGCTATGATAAAAAAAATCATATTTCTATGTTATTGATTTATTCAATCTAAGCGTTACTTTGTTAGCAAACTATTCATAAATTGGACTTTCTGATATGGCTTTCTTAGGAAGGCTGTTTCTTAAATTTTGAGATTTTATTAAACCATATTATGATTGAACATTAAGAAAATACAAGTATAGCATTCGCCCCTTATCCATATATCCCCATATATGCCAAGACTTCCAGCAGTGAATGCCTGAGACCACTGACCGTACCAAACCCTTTGTTAAAAGGGTATGTTCTGCAAAATTTAGATTCAGTCAAAAGGCTGCACTCAAGGATCCAGTTAGGCCACGGGATCCCCACCTCTGCACGGAACAGGACGGCAGGAGATTTCATCACACTACTCAGGACAAGGCCTAATTTAAAACTTATACATTGGCCGGGCGCTGTGGCTCACGCCTGTAATCCTAGCTCTTGGGAGGCCGTGGCGGGCGGATTGCTCAAGGCCAGGAGTTCAAAACCAGCCTGAGCAAGAGCAAGACCCCGTCTCTACTATAAATAGAAAGAAATTAATTGGCCAACTGATATATATATAAAAAATTAGCCGGGCATGGTGGCGCATGCCTGTAGTCCCAGCTACCCGGGAGGCTGAGGCAGAAGGATCACTCGAGCCCAGGAGTCTGAGGTTGCTGTGAGCTAGGCTGACGCCACGGCACTCACTCTAGCCTGGGCAACAAAGTGACACTCTGTCTCAAAAAAAAAAAAAAAACTTATACATTGTTTGCTTCTGGAATTTTCCATTTAATATTTTCAGATCGCAGTTGACCATAGGCAACTGAAACTGCAGAAAGCGAAACCGTGGGTAAGCAGAGACGGCTGTAATGTGAACTCTCACAGGCTTTGACTAAAAACATAACTGTGCAGAAACTGCTGACTACCTGAGTCCTAAAATTATAAGATTTGGGGTTGTGTACACAGTGGATGAGCCAGGCAATCTTTTATCTCAATACATATAAGGAGAAGGGGGCTATTTTATTTCTGCTGACAGGTTCCACAGAACTGAGTAAATTTTCATTATCTGAAAACAGGTGAAAACAGGAAAGATTTTGAATGCCAAAGGTACTATCAAGAAATGAAAGTCAGGCTGAAGGACTAGCTAGAAAACCTAGAGGAGGTGTCAGAAAAAATTTCTGATATCAGAAACATCAGGAAATCATTTTTGTCATTAATACATACAGAGATGTTTGGGAATTAAATCGGATGTAGTAACTGAGTCTTATTTAGGAAGGTAAAGTTTTATCAGTTTGTTATTATTTGCTAGTATTATTTATTTGTTTTATGAGAAAGGAATTTTTTTTAAAACTTTGAAATCTTGGTATCACAGAATATTAACATAGCACATCTGGCCGGCTTGGTGGCTCACGCCTGTAATCCTAG